CTTCAAGCAGGAGCCGTGAGTCTAGGAGGACCCCCAGATTACGCACCAGGTCTGTCTGGGGCAGTGCTACTCCATCCAGCACCAAAGATAACAAAGTCCCGGATACAGAGGAGCCATTAACCCACAGCCTCTCTGTCTTACCAGGGTTCAGCTGAAGCCTGTTGTTCCCCATCCAGGCCCCCACAGCCTCCAGGCACCGCGAAAGGGTGGCCACGGCATCACTTACCTCACCTGGGATGGAGATGTATAGTTGAGTATCATCAGCATACTGATGATACCTCATCCCATGATGGCGGATGATCTCGCCCAGCGGTTTCATGTAGATGTTGAAAAGGAGCGGGAAGAGAACCAAACCCTGAGGCACCCCACAAAGGAGGGGCTGAGGATGGGACCTCTCGCTCCCTATCACCACCGATTGGGATCAGCCCTGGAGAAAGGAGGTGAACCAACACAAAACTGTGCCGCCCACCCCCAATTCCCTGAGTCATCCCAATAAGATACCGTGGTCAATGATATCGAAAGCCGCTGAGAGATCAAGGAGAGCAAGGATGGTCACACATCCCCCATCCCACTCCCTCCAGAGATCATCCACGAGTGTGACCAATGCCGTTTCCGTTCCATAACCAGGCCTGAAACCTGACTGGAAGGGATTCAGATAATCCGTTTCCTCCAGAACCCTTTGGAACTCTGATGCCACCACTTTCTCAACCACCTTCCCCAAAAAGGGGAGACTGGACAAAAATTGTCCATTACAGTAGGATCCAGGGAGGGCTTCTTGAGGAGGGGGTACACCAACGTCTCCTTAAAGGCAGCTGGAAACACTCCCTCCTGCAAGGATGTAGTAACCATCGCCTGGATCCAGCCACATGTCACCTCCCGAGCTGCTTTCACCAGCCAGGAGGGGCATGGGTCGAGATGGCAAGTGGTGGCCTTCACAGTCTCCAGGATCCTGTCCACTCCTCATGATCAACAGGATCAAAGTGCTCCCAGATAACGGGATAAGAACGGCCCTCCGGTATCTCTCCAGACCCCGCCCCATGCTCGGAGTCTAACTTGGAACAAATCCAAGCGACTTTGTCCTGCAGATGCTCCAAAAATTCCTCTGCATGGCCCTGCAAATGAACCCCCACATTCCCCTTGCCAAGGAGGGACCTAGTGATCCTGAACAGGGCCCCCGGGCAGCATTCTGAGGACACGATAAGGGTGGAGAAGTATTGGCGCTTCGCCGCTCTTATTGCCACAATGTAGGCCTTGATAGCCCCTTCATGGATCACTGCCTTGTCGTGGCGAAGGGGCTTGCGTAACTCAGTGAAGCCATGAGCTAGAGAGTGCAGGGCCACCCAAGACGGGCAGGTCATGACAGAGAGTTCTGACAAAATGTGGTCCACTGGAGAAGGAAATGGCACCCCACGCCAGTATCCTT